AGGCTGCAGATACAGAAGGGTTTTTCCCTGAAAAGCTAGTAAGTTTCTGCCCCTCATCAGGGTTATTTCCGCGACAGCACCTATGATTAGCTGCCCCCTGCCTCAGTTTACCCATGTCTACAACCCAAGCTGCAGCTGCCCCTCCCATCACCATTGGGGAAAATGTCAAAATTAACACTTTGGAACACACTGGTCAAAACAAAACAAAACACTCCATTTCCTTAATTCCTTCCTCTAGTCCTGCCCACTCTTGGAATCTTCCCGAATTGGAATGTGCGGGGTTGTCCCAACCAGAGGAGGGAAACCAGGGGCCAGTGGGGGTGGGGGTGTCTCAGGCCGGGACCCTGGGAACACAGGCACGCAATCTGCCCCGGGGTTCCTGTTCACAGCCGAGCAGGTTCCCAGCTGCTGACCTCTGAGGTGGGTCCTTGGGTCCTGGGGGCGCGGCTGGGGGAGGGGTCCTCAGAAGTACGGGGAGGCCTGCAGAAGGGGCCTCCAGGCGTGTGTGAGCCTGGGCACCAGGCCCAGCTGCTCCAGCTGCAGCCTCGTGGGCCCGTAGCTGTGGAGGTTGCAGTGCAGGGCCGGCCGGCTGGGGCTCTGGGCTAGAAGGGCCCCCCAGGGGCCGTGGCCCGGCTGGAGCCTGGGTGCTGCCGCAGGGGGGGTTGGGGCCTGGGGACTGCTGGGCCCGGAGGATGCAGACAAGCTCCGGGTCGATGGGCTGCTGAAGGGGTTGGAGGGCGTTCGGTCGCTAGTCGAGCGGCTGCTGTCACTCAGGCGGGTGGGTGGGGGCGCGGCCGCCCCCCTAGGCCGGAGGGCCGTGGCCAGCCTCGGGGACTTGAGCCCCAGCACGGGCTTGGAGCGGGCGTAGAGGTGGTGGAACTCCGCGTCGAACAGCTCCACCGCCTGGCCCGTGAACTTGGAGAGGATGTTGCGGTGGGCGTGTCCGCACAGCCAGGTGAAGCTGGAAGGGGAGAGAGCGCTTTTGAGGGGGGTGGGGGCGGGCAGGTAGGGCGGGGACTGAGACCAGGTGATTAATCCATGAGCATCAGGCTCGGACCCGGGCTCTCGGGCTCCAGGTCCCAGGGGGAGTATGGTAGGGTCCCCGTGTAAGCTGACCGCCCCTGCCCCCAGGTTTTAAATAAAGTTCCCGTAGTATCAGTTGGAGACGCCTTGATTTAACCCTAGTGTCTTGAATCAATGATGGTAAACTCCACAGACTACCCCCAAACTCTGGAATTCCCGGATGTGAGCAGAGGCAGCCCTTGGCAAGGAGAGCAGCCTCTGGGAAGTCACTTTCTAAGACAAGCCCAGGGGTAGGAGGCATGAGCCCCGTGGGGTGGGGACAAAGGGCCCAGGGGCAGGAACAGCACCTGAGCTGAGCATGAACAGGCACCACCCCCCACAATGGGGCCCCCAGTCCCCGCCTGGCTGTCCTACCCCCACAAAGCCCTGCCCAGGCCCCTAGGCCCCCAGAAGACAGGCTGGGCACACGCAGGCCTGCAGGCGATCCTGGTACCAGGAGGCTTTGTTTAAACCTCACCTGGGCCCAGGAGCCACTCACACCTCAGAGGGCGCCAGCCAGGTGACGTGGAAGAGGTGAACACAGAGATGGAGAGACCGGCTCTACTATGAAGTCAGTTGCCTGGTGTGATGTGTTCTCTAAGGCGTGGAGTTGCTGGCTCATAAACCATTCAGCCTTAGCAGGAAATGCCAAGCTCTTTCCAAATCCCATCAGCAATGTATTCAGGAGGATGTAAACCGAACATTTGTCCTCGTCGTTTTCCATTGCTGGTTGGAAAGGTACAGAGTAGGGGCTCCCTCTCGCCTGGGTTTGCCTTCCTCTGATCACTAGTGACTCCGCCTCTCTCCCTGCTCTCTGGCTCCCTGGTGATCCGGGTGCCTGCCTGCGTGGGGGCCCATCTCCGAGGGGCCCTGCTGTGGTTCCTAGTTTTTCTACAAGATTCCTGACACTAATCCTTGCCAGGAGCAGACACACGGAATACCTGCTCCCTGCTCACAACCTGTTTTTTCACTTTAAGATGTGCATCAATGAGCCCAAGTTCTTCCTTTTAATATATTCACATTTCGCAATCACCTAGAGTCACTATGTTTTGCGTTTTGTCTAAGAAATCTCTCCTTATCAGAAGGTTCACCAGATAGTCTCTCTGTCCTTTTTGAATTGTGGTGAAAACATATACAATGACATTTGCCAATTTGACCATTGTTACTTGTGTGCTTCAGTGACAAGTGTCAAGATTTTTCTGCTAGGAGTTTTAAAGTCTATTTTTGAGGTTGAAATCCTATCTATGGGGTGTCAAAAGTGGTTGAGCACTTGACACTTAACCGAAAGGTTGGCAGTTCAAACCTACCCAGAGGTGCCTCAGAATACAGGCCTGGTGATCTGCTTTTGAGAGGTCACCACCTCGGAAACCCCTGGGAGCAGTGCTACCCCGCACATGTGACGTCACCATGAGTCAGCCTGCGAGTGGACTTTTTGTGTCCATGTGAGACAGGAACCCAGCGCTCCACGTGGAGAGAACTTTGTCTTCCTTCCTACTTCTCCGACAGGCCCTGCCATGTGTGGGTCTAAGTCTGGGCTTCTTACCCTGCTCCATCGGTCAGTTTGTCCCTCCTCCCAAACCCAAAACCAAACTCACTGCCACCGAGTCGATGCCCACTCATAGTGATGCTATAGGACAGGGTAGAACTGCCCCTGTGGGTTTCCAAGACTGTCACTCTTCACGGGAGTAGAAAGCCCCATCTTTCTCCCGGAAGCAGCTGATGGTTTTGAACTGCTAACCTTGTGGTTAGCAGCCTCTGGGGAACCACTATGCTACCACACTGCCCCTCCTCCAGGGCCACATGACCCCTTATCTACCACAGCTACGTGACGGCCCTGATCTTCTCCACGCTTATCTTGGCCATTCTTGGAGAAGTATATTTTACATTGGGACCTACTTCCATTGACAGACACACACTGAGTCACGAGGTCTCTATAACATTGCGTCTGTGGGTGCACGCTTCATTTTTGTCCATCCAAGCAGTCCTGTGTATCTTCACACCACAACCACATCCACAAACCCAGGATGACAAGCCCACTGTGGCCTCAGCGAGGTTCTGAGGCCTGGAGACCTGGTCAGTAGTCATTAACCTGAGCCCCAGGAGCCTGGAAATCCACCCTGGTTCAGAGCTTTACCTCCAGCCCACACTCTGTGTTCCAGAAAACTCTCAAAAGGACCAAACTCATTATCGTCAAAGGTGGAATCAGGGTAGGGTTGCCCTTGCAGATTTCTGAAGCTGTAGATCTTTAGGGGAGCAGAAAGCCTCATCTTTCTCCCTTGGAGTGGCCAGAGGGTTTGAACTTTGGACTCACTATGCCATGAGGGCTCTTTTGTTGTTGTTGTTGCAGAAAATAGCTATGACAAATGCCACTCTCACCATGTGATCTAGATAACATCCAGATGCCCCCTTGCTTGCCTATGACAAGGCCAACCATAGACTCATTCAAAACCAAACTCACACCATCAGTCAGTCTGACTCACAGAGACCCCACACGACAGAACAGAACTGTCTCTGGGGGGTTCCAAGGCTAACTGGACAGCAGGTGTAGAAAGCCGCTTCCTCCACTCCTGTGGCGCAGCTTGTGAGTTCTAACTGTTGACCTGGCGGTTGGCATCCCACTGGGGAACCCCCTATAGGCCACCAGGGCTTCTCTCTCTAGAAAACCAAAAACTAAATGCCCTGTCAACAAGTGGCTTCCAACTCAGTAACCTGGAACAGAGTAGAGCTGCCCCCGTCCGGTCCCAAGACAAAATCTTTCTGGGAGTAGACAGCCCTGTCTTTCTCCTGAGGACCAGTTAGTGGATTTGAACTACTGGCCTTGTGGTTAGCAACCCAATGCATAATGCACTTGGCCTCCCCAGAACAAAGCCAAACACGGACACCCTCCCCCCCAAGTTCCCACCCCTTGCCTTATAAACAATTATCAGAACATCTCGTCTCCACAGATGTCTCAGAAACAACGTGCTCCTTGTAAACCAAGCCTGAGTTAAGCCTCTCCTTCGCCCTCGCCCCTGAACTCTGGCCCACCCCAGTCTGAGCCAACATCCTCCCTCTCCGTGATGCCCCTCCCTTATGGGAACAGGCTGACCTCAGCAGAGAACACTGATGTGCCCTCTGATGACAGCACCCTCTCCGCCCATTACACACACCTGGTCCTTTTCTCAGGTCTGGGTAAAAGGAAAACACAATGTCTCTCTTGAAGGCCTCTCTGCCAGAGCCAGTTCCCTCTTCCTCGTCCTCCCCCTTTGTCTGTGTCCCTCCCCACTTGCACGGGTCTTTCCCCAAGTCTGGATTTTTAAAAAGTTTTATTTGACAAAAAGGAGCTGTTGATCTTGGACCCTTACTCGACCTCCGTTT